AAAATCGTACTCAGAACCATATAAGGTGTATTTATGTGAGTTTTAGGTACCATCAGATTACAAAGCGACGACTTCCTCCTCCTGCAAGTTTCTCCCCTTTGAAAGTTCCAGCACTGGGATTGAAAAGGGTAGTATCTTTGCGGGAATAAAACGCGAAACATTTATACAATACAACAGACGACAACGACGCACTATGTTGGCTCAACAGGTCACCACCAGAGGGGTCCTGATGAGCACTCATAGCGCAGCGAGTAACAGCGCACAAATCGCGAATGTATGAAAGAGAGAGTGAACGCATAAGAGTTTTAGGTCCTCAACCGACTCTTACTAAATGACGATAACGCCTCAACCTTCAACGCTCAATCGAAGGTATGGGGTGCCAATCAATTGCTATTGACATGTGGACCAAGCAGCGGATGAAAAAGCTTGGGGGTGGATGGAAGGGTTTAGTAGGTTTCGATCCAGGTTACCAGGATGGGAACTTATTCGACTCGGGCCAGTAATCAGTGTGCGAGTAAGTACCACACAATTAGAATGATAAAACCTTGTACATTCAAAATAAAAGTTTAAACATTTATAAAATTAAACAACACTTAGAAAAAAAAAACAGATAATTTCTATTAATATATGCAGATTAAGATTGTGTACCTAGGAATGTAAAACTAGATTTGAATTGTGTTTATTTTCAAATAAATCAATTATGTCTTCCAAAACTGCCTGATTATTGAGAGTCAAGATTAGATTTTGAAAAATGTACTTAGGATTGAGTAGGATTTCATTAAAAAACATGATATTTTGGTAAAGTAATAGTAAAATGTCTTTATTTTATGAATATTCAACATTGATCCTAAGAAGATGAAGAATAGCTAGATTTCTTAATCTTCTCAGTTTACAACTTATTTGCACATTACAAAACTATGTACCAAAAACATAATATAATGATGATTGTTCTTGTTCAAATATTTCTAGAAGATCATAATTTGGCTCAATTTGAAAAGTTGTTCCAGTACTTGATGTTTGATTCTGAAATAAAAAGGTCATAACAGATGTATTGTTTATCTACAAATGAGTCTTCTTTCAGTTGTTACACAAGAAGAAATTGCTAAATAATTTCTATTCATGAAAATACCCCTATGGGTATTACTGCCACCACCTCCATCAATATTCTCGTTTTCAAAGATTACACAAGTTTGTTAATTGTATTACCATTAGATTGCCAGTGAACAAAATCAATGTACCTGGATCAGTGGTGGTTTTGCTTTTCAGAAATTTCTATTTATCTGAAATTGTTACAAGGTTTACTGTACCAAATAAAAAAATTAAATATTACTGGTTATTTTCTAACTCTTCCTGATATACTATTTAGCAGAGGGGGCTATTTTCTCAGCTGAGGACTACCTCTACTTTCAGGTGTGTAGATGAGCCACAGGTAGTAAACCTGAAATAAATAAAAACAATTATTGTATTATAAATGTTCCGAAAAGTAAATAATATTACTTACATGTTTATTTATATTATTTCGTTTGATTTTAATACTGCTCCCATCTATTGAAGTAAATGCTTCAATTTTCTAGGTATTTGCCTCCTACAAAGAATTGGTTCATACCTTTTTACATAAGAGCAATAACATTTTCCTGAAAATGCTGAGAAGATACGTAACGAAGTTTAGCTAAAAATAATTTCTAAACAATTTGTTTAATGGTTTGTAACCACTGTTCATGTTAAGTGCTTGAGATTCGTAGAAGACCTAAAAAATAAAAAGCTTTAGAATACAACAAAAGGAACATAAAGTAGTTACTACTTACAAATGGAAAGATTTAACATAAAATCACCAAGTAAAGCAAGGTTTTCAAGATATTCATTATTTGTTAATGGTTTTGTAAAGTATAGGCTCGTAAATAATATCTTTGGGGACTGACTTTGGATAAATATTATAACATAACCACTAAAACATGACTAAAACTATTGCGCCAAGATGTAGGCAACACGTAATAAGGGTTCAAAATGGCGGAATTTTCTATCTCCTTTTAAAAGGCACTTAGAAAGCTGCGCAGTGCGACCTTTCTCCGTATAGTAAGAGAAAATCAAAGTATGTGCATGTGGCCAACCCAAACCTAACCTCTATCCGTGAGAATTATGTCTTCTTCTTTTTCTTAAGTTGAAATGTCAAAACGTCAAGGTAGTGGCCTTTTGCTGTTTTCCCACTCGTACATTAGTGAGTTTATTAATATTGAATTAACTAACAATTATTTCTTACGTTATGTTGTTCAAAGAAAATATAATAATAATACTAATTCTATTAAAAAAAAAAGTTGTGAAAAAGTATATACCAAATTTAGTAATCCTAGCTTAAACTGAACTCGAATTTTGATATTGTGTTAGAAACAAATTGTATAATAAACTAATTATCCTGCCATGGTAGTTGTCAATTACCTAGTTCTAAACAGACAAAATATGTTACGTAACTCATCCACTCCAACCTATCACATAGGAGTAGATGAATTACGTCACATATGGGTTAAATATCCTGCATAACACATACTCCTTATTTGTTAAATTATTAAAAAGAAAAATTATTATTTATTAAAATATTAATTGCAAAAGCTGTACAACCCTTCAAAATTTAATTATTTATGCTCATCGTAGTTGTCAGTTACCATTCGTCCTAGGTAGAAAGGGACACACATGACGTTATGTCTCCACTACTCGTACCTATCACATATAAGTAGTGGAGTCATAAATTATTGGCTAGTTAAGCTGGATGCAAAAACTGTTATTAATTAATAATTTACTTAATTTAAATGTCATCTGCTAAAATGCTGTTAATATCATTAAAATAATTTTTATTGTTACTAGTACTAAGCAAAAAGGAGTAAATATCACTAAAGGTACGTTTATATCTGACATTTATTGCATGGGATTTATGACTGACAGTTGTTTAGTCCAGTGTAAACACTCAAACATATATCTCCGAGAGAAATAATGTAATGTAAGTGTAGTATTCTTTTTAATAAATAATTTAACGTAATTACATTAAGATTATTTACAAGAACATCAGAGTGCAGTCGATATTTATACAACTTTTATTATCAGGTTTTTAAATTTCCTGTTGCGTTGTTTGATATCGATGAAAGCGCCACATAGTGGGTCAGATGTAAACTGCGATAAAGCTGGTCGTTGTTAAGCATTGACTTCTTATGGGCGTTTCCTATCTTTATCTCCCTTATCTCTGCGCAGTGCTATAAGGACGAAGCAACGGCTTCTCGTAGGGTGGCGGCTTCACCGCCACCAAAAAATATCAACCCATACATGACTACGCCGACCGGTATAGACTCCAACGGCCTGGACACAGCTCAAATTAAAACGAAAAGTCTCATATAACAGAAATGTCTGTGATTACCATAAATATATTTACTTCGGGAGCCAAGTTCACCTGCCGGCCAGAGACGCTAATCAATTTTCAAGCCTGTTATCGCAAACGGTTGCGATCACGGTATAGGGAATGGAGCGTTTCAGATGCATCTCCATTTCCTAGGCTGTTATTGCAACCGGTTGCGTTCACCGTATAGGGTTTGGAAATAATCGAACGGGGATTGCGACTTATAGTTTAACAATGGACGGTTTTATATTTTAATAAGATCAACTTTTTTTATATATATAACTCGCGCCATAGCAAAAATGTAGAGAAAAATAACATGGAGACTATCGTAAGCAAACTTAACATTTCCAGCTGGAATGTTTGGAAATTTCAAGTTAAAGTGGTGTTGTTGGTGAAGGGATTATATGAAATTATCTGTGAAAATGAAAGTATGCCTGTCAGCGACGATGACTAAATTGCTAATTGGGAAATTAAAGATGCCCGTGCTCAAGAAGTACTTATTGTTAGAATGTAAGATAAAATAATTTCACACTTCATTCAGAGTAAAACAGCGAAACAAATGTAGGGTAAATTAGAAAACATGTTCAAACGAAAATCTGAAGTTATTACGAATCTCTTGAATGAACAATACAATCTGAAGTTCCAAAATGAAACTGTAAACAGTTTTATTTTAAAAGTGACAAATGGATGGTGATAGAGAAAAAGGAACCAACCGCCATAACAAGATTTCTGGAAACAGCGAGAAACATATATTTTTTTCATTTTTCGATATTAAAATGTTTTAAATAATTTTTTGGAACTGGTACATTAAAGATAAGTAGTAGAGTGGTTACTGCTGCTACTGAATGTATTTTTTTTGTAAAATTTTATTAAACTTTGAATAAATTCCAATAAATTTATTTTCAGCTATGTTTTTTTTCAACTATTAAAAAAAATCGAAAAAAGAACCAGGCGCTTGGTTCTAGTCAAATTTACGGATTTTTTCGTTTTTATTAGTTAAAATTAGATTTTAACAGGTTTATGAATTACCAGGGTCGATATTCGAAAATTAACATAAGTTAAAAACTAACTTTTACGAAATTTTAAAAATATGGTCGGTGGTTCTTTATTCAATAATATGCTTAATCAAAAAAGTAATTACAATAGAATTACCAAGAACCTTTTTGTATTATGAAAATTATTATTTTGCAATAAACTGGAATTTCAAAATAAAAATTAATTCTGCATCAAAACTAAAACTTTAATTTTTGTAATAATAAGAAAAATCATATTAAAACTTTTCAGTAAAAAATAAGAAATTTTACCTACTAATATTTAAAAAAATTTAATGGATTATTTGTTATAAACTATGTAGGTACTTTGGCAAGATAATACTGGGCCAAAAAATATTAGGTACAACGATAAGTAACAAAAACCAAGTATAGAACTTAACGTAAAAACTCTGACTTTCTTTGGTAAAAAATATGCATTTTCTTAAACTGAAACACGCTTACCTAACTTAACAATAATAAAAAAAATAATTCTAAACCAACAAACGTAGTATATCTAGATAGGTACTAGAGTAATAAACAACGTGTGTAAAAACTACAAAAAACAAAAATTTTTTTTGGAAACTTGATCACTAGACATTTTCAAATTCAAAGTCTACGCCTGCATTGAATCCATCAATGTCATCAACGACATTATCATTTGATAATAAACTGGTATAGAACTCTTGTTCTGATGATGGTATCAAATGCAGAATTAATTGGATATCCTTTAATTTTGGAGTAGAAATAGCCTTTCCTTCGGGCCATAGTAATTCTAAGCTTTCTGGAATGGGCTGATATTTTTTGAGGTTTTGTTTGGGTTTTATGTCAATTTCCTCAAACGGTTTTTCAGTAGAATGACAGGTTCTTAAAAATAAACTATAGGTATGATCTTTCCTCAATTGAATTTCTTTTGCGGAGAGCCAGTTTATTTTGTTTCCTTCCGTATTAACTTTTCTATTAATAATAGCTTTTTCCATACCTTCAGTACTTCGAAAGTCCATGTTTTCCATTGCGGTAACTTTAAATGGGTTTTTCTTCCTACATGTTATAATCTTGAGGGACGTATAATCTTTGCTGATATTTCAATGCTTTTTCGATATCACTAAAATCTGAATCATTCGGCAAAAAGCTATGACCTGATTCTAAAAATTTCATAGATATCATTTTTAAAGAGGGATGATGCTGAAGAATAAATTTCATCATGAGGCACATTTTGATATTTGTATTTTGACCCCCACACGAGTCACTCCATAATCGTAGTTCAGTGATGTTCTTATCTAGGTGCATTTCTGAAAACTTTTTTAGACAAGAACCTACCTCTTGAGCTCCCCTTCCAGCCATTCCTTCTGTCCAAACAAAACAGTATCCTTTATCAGTTTTTCCCGAATGCATCCCTAGGTTATAAAACCACAACTGCCTTTTATAGAATATGATGTTCGTCGGAATTCGCGGAAGGGGTAAAGTTTTTTCTAAATCAAAAGTTAATGTTTCAAGTACAGGGTTATCTTTGGCTTCTTTAATATCTAATTTCATTCTATTTCTGGCGTTTTCAGCAGCTTTTAAATGTATATCGTGTTCTTCTTTAGCCTGAGGGTTTACTTCAGAGATGTTGCTGTAAATGTCGCATTTGTTACAGGTGTCTTTTTTAAAGCTTTCTCACTTAAGTTAAATTTAGTTTGAAAAATATTTTTATATTTTGACAAACTAACTGGATCTTCCACTTCTTTTTTATACAAAATATTATACATGAATTCTACCGTCATATACGATGGCAAAAACTCTTTTTCAGTAACAGATCGACGATAATGTGATTTATATTTTGGGAGTCGGCTAATTTGTTCTATTACTTTGAGTATTTTATCATTTGGTAAAGTCTTGTAATTTTTATGTGCTCCCCGATGATCTCTTATGTTCAAATTTCGAAACTTTTTAAGGGCAGTATCAACACGTTTTGTGGAAACCCTTAATGTTTTTACAAACATAGTTCGGCAAACGGTAATATTTTTTTAAGGTGAAGGGTGAGAAAAAGTCCTTTATATCTCACAAGGAAAGTCAATGTTTAATTGTTTAACAAAACATTGAGTGCGACCGGTTTCGAAGTGTCATCACTTCATCTTCAGGCTCGCCTAGTGGAAAGGAGAATATGTGGTGTAAGGTGTGTTAACTTGGAAACAAAACGATATATAAAATAATAAAAAAAGAGAAAACTCACCATACTCTCCATCCACTAGGGAATACTACAAAAACAAGTTTCATCAATTTTGGGTTGAAATAAATTGTAAAATAAACCGATTTACACGTAATAAAAAGTTAAAAATATTTGAAAAAACAAATATTAGTCAATTATAGTAAAAATTTAAAATATTCAAGACTATACAAAAACAAATCACATACATTAAACAGATTAAAAGATAAGGCCTATTTTAAACATTGTTGTTTTAAAAAAAAACTAACATTTTTTGAAAGGAGACCTGTCAAGTTAAGGCCTCTACAGGTGGTGGTAAGTATTATAACGAAAAAATTCTTGGGTAAACTTATGACAGATTATAGTTAATAAGATGTAAACTATGAGTGAAGAATTATTTATTATCTATTATATAAGATTTGGGCCATGAACCAATCACCAAGTGTATGTGATGTTGTAGGAAGAAGAAAGAAGAAGAAATGACTGGGTTAACTGTTGTGAAGCAACTGAAGAATAAAAGAAGAAAATGACGCATGTGGATATCAGACAATTTAACCTAATCTTTACACGTGCTCGTTGGTTTCTTATGGGAAAAAAAATTTATTAATGAAATGTACCCCTTGCAAGAAGATATGTGAATAGAAATAAAGGGGGGAGGTTAAAAAGGAAGTTAGAACGATACATTTAGATTAGTGTTGAGAAAACAGGAGGAGTTTCTGACAATATCTGGGCATTTAAGCAGCCAACAGGATTTAATTTTAAATGTCTCAATATCTCGAGGTTTTCGAAGCTATTAAGAGTAAATCTATTGTAGGAACTATGAAGGATTTCGAAACCTTCAGTTGAATCGAAGTCGTGATTTGAGTCCAGTAGGTGGTTGGCAAAATGTGAAAAACCTGTTGTATTTTGGTTAAGACAACGTAAATGTTCTTTTAAACGGATCTTGAAATTTCGAAATGTGCGTCCCACATAGAAAGAATGGCAAGATTTACAAGTTAATTTATAAATTCCAGATAAGTCAAAGGGATCTAATTTATCTTTATTATGAACAAATAACTTATGTAATGAAGAGGGGGTTTTGAAAGATACTTTAAAGTGGTTTTTGAGTAAGCTAGCCACTTTATAGGATGCTTTTCCAATAAAGGTAAGAGAAATTTATTTCTTACTGGTGGTTAGTTCATGTACCATATTAGGATTGTTAATATAAACTAAATTTTGTTGAATTTTATTTTGTTTATGTGTTAGCATTTTATCAATAATATCTAGTTCAAAGTTGTGATCTATAGCAATAGTTTTAATTATATTTAGTTCCTTATTAAAGTTTTCCGTAGACAGAGGAACGTTTAATAGCCTCTCTAAGTAGCAATTAAAGGCAGCCAATTTATGTGTTGCTGGATGGTTAGAGGTATTGTCTATAACTGTGCCTGTATGTGTTGGCTTTCTATAGATGTCAAAGTTGAACTTGTTATTATTGTGTGAGATTTTAAGATCTAAAAAGTTAATAGATTTGTTTATTTCAATTTCTAATGTGAATTTAATATTAGAATGTAAGTCGTAGAACCTAACTCTACCATGCTGTATTAAATAATAATTATTATTATACAGGAATAGCAATTTTGGAATACAGAACCAGCCATCAATATCAAAGGGTCCACGAGTAGAATTTTACCAAATTAATTTTCGAATATAGAACCAAGTACACAAATTATTTGGAGGTTATAATAATAAATTATGATAATGTTTACTTACCTGATGTATTTCCAAAGACTGAACTGCATTTTCTTGCTTCTTGAACACTAATCTACACATTTATTTGCCTCTCGACATATTTTACTCGAGATTTTTGCATTAAAACTACGTTTTTAACAGGTCGATACACGTGCTCAATGAAGTATTTGTGGTTCTTTATTCGAAAACAAACGTAACTGAATAACCATTTTCGAAATACAAACTTCGGTTCACAGATGTCGCTAGTATTAATCAAGCGTAATAAAAATTGGTTTGGCGATTGGTTCCATTTATAGCAATGTGCTGACGTAGATATCTCATTTTTAGCTGTTTGGCGGTTGGTTCCTTTTTCTATATCACTATCCAAATGTGCAAACAAAACTTAAGCAGATGAAGTTATTCCTGGAAAACTGATTGTGATGAAAATCATCATGGCACTTTCTGCTAAAACATTCAGGCATTTTGTTCAGCTTGGGACAGTGTTGACTCAGACAATCAAACTTTAAAAAAATTGAGCTTGCCTTCTGATAGAAGAAGAATAATCCGTAGCACTAATCAGCCAATCAAATGTCAAAACAAAGGTCAATGTCAAATCAAGATATAAACATAAACAGAAATAAATGCTTTGTCTGTGAAAAAATAGGTCACCTGAAGAGTCAATGTCGAAATATTGAGTGTAATTATTGTAGAAGAAAAGGCCAACTAATTAAATATTGCTTTGCTAAAACGAAAAAGGACGAAAGGGACAAAAGTTTTAAGAAAAGTGCTGCTCGTAGTGGGAATAATAGTAAAAGGTTTGCGCTTATTGCTGTTTCAAGTAATATTCAATCCCAAATAAATATGGAATGGTACTTGGACAGTGGGGCATCGCAGCATATGTGTAAAGAAAAATGTATGGTTTGTAGTTTTGTGCAATTAAAAGTGCCTGAATATGTAAAAATTGGTAATTGTACATACTTGCAAGCAGGACAATATTTGTATTTTAGTTTTTAATGGTGCCAATTTTTATCCTGTCTCATTATCGGCCGTATTCACCAATAGAACTTAACATGCTAACAGACTGTTAAGTAGCTTATCAGTCAGTTAAATTATTTTTTGGTATTCACCGACCATATTTTACGGCTAACAGAGAGTTAAAGTTAACTGGTTGAATTTGAGCAGTTAAGTACTTAACTCCCCGATAACATGTGACAATAAACTATTGTCATTTATTGTTTTTGTTGAGTGTTGTAAATTATTAAAAAGTTATCAAAAACAAGCTAAAGATTTATAAAAATACATTTTTACTTTGGAAAGAATAGACTTTCATAATTTATTATCGACTTCATCAGAAAGTGAAGACGACATTCCACGACGACCCAGAGTTATAAAACCTCGAAATAATTTGTTAGACCTAGACAATATTGAATTTAAAAAAAGATTTAGAATAAATATACTTTGCACAGACTTATTGAATTGGTGGAAATACAAGAACTAGTGAACAATAAAAATATTCCAATCTCGAAAACAAACCCGATATTATTTTGTTTAAGGTTTTATGCCACAAGCAGTTTCCAAATAAACACTGGTGACCATTTTAATATTTCTCAGTCAACTGTATCAGGAATTGTGACCAAAGTAACATGATATATAGCTGCATTGCGTCCACAATTTGTTAAAATGCCCATAATAGAAGAGGGAAAAGAGAAAATGTTTTAGAGTTTTTTAATATTGGAGGACTGCCAGGAATAATTCTGTACCATCCGTGAATAAATGGATAAGTCAAATTTTAGTAAAAATAAGATATCTACATATATCTAAAGGGCTCTTCCCATTCTGTTTGGTGAATAAATGGGTGATTCAAATTCGCAATAGTTTCCTTCATTAGTTTACTTCAGAGGACGCCGTGAATAGTTGGATTTTTCCAATTTTTTTTGCCAAAACCGGTAACTACAGCTATCCCCGGATTTGGAAAAGGTTTATCAAAATGATCAGTCGTTTTTTAGTTTTCTTGTCCAATCAAAATGTATGTTATTTGAATTAAGTTCACTTTGCTTTTTTCATGAACAAATAAAAATATTAAAAAAAATTTTCCTGCTTATTTATACTAGAATAAGTCAGTAACTCAACAACAACACCACACACATTTGAGGTTAATAAATAGGCAAGACAGATGTTTTCCATTAAGTAATATAATTTCACAGGTCATAATTATTTACATTGTTGGTTGTATAATTAACAACCTATTTCAAAAAAACGAAATTCAACTTAAAATTTGTTTTTCGAAAACATCAAAATGTTGTTTAACACGTTGGCGGAAACATCCCAAATGGAGGGTGGACATAAAGGCGCACAACGATATCTCTGAATCTGGTGGTAATAAAAATAAAATTTATATCCCTATAAGTTCGCAACTATGTAAGCTATGCTTTTTTGATAAAACAAATAGGATTGTTATGACAGTCCATGCCCGCCAACATCGATAAAAGTGAAGTTGTGATCCAACAACTGCAATAACAGCCGGCTGCTAATGCAGCTGCTGCACCGTTAGGCACCAAATTGGAATCTAAAGGTGCAAGGACTGCAATAGTGAACAATAAAATAACTAATTCTATCTAAAAATAAACATTTATTCACGAAAAAACACTGCCATTGGAATACAAAACAATAAAAACAAAACAGTTGATGTTAGAAAAATTGTATTTACTCTCTATGTCATGCCTCAAAACATTCGCCTGGACAGAGGGGTACTTTGCTCTCGCAATCACATCTCCATGAGGTAGCCTTCTTCAGCTTATTCCTTCTGCACTGAACGCATCTCAGGAAATATGTTTTCCTTTTGAAATTGGGTGGGTGCGGAATTTTTTCTTGATAATGATTGCCCCTTTCTACTGGTGGTGGAAGGAAATGTCTCTTTGGTGGTTTAGCGTAATTTCTACCGTTTTTTTTCATCCTGGGGTACTCCGATCAGGGATCTTATCAGAGAATCTCTGAATTTTATAAACTGTATTTTCTTGTCTTCTTTTTGTTTATAGATGTAGAAAGAGTTCCACACAGCAATATCCAGCAAATGGAACATAACTTTCTTGTACCATCTCACAGTTTTCCTGGGACTAGAATAGTAGGCTATCATCTGATCACAGCGGTCAACGCCAGACATGTATTTGTTATATTCCGAAATCTGCAAAGGTTTTATTTTATCTTTTCCATTTCGATTCGATACAGTGACTAATAAAGGATGGTACCCTGTTGTAATAGAATAGACGCCTCGCTTGTCTTTCCATTTGGATATATAAATATTGTTCTGACGTTTCCAAATGTGTTGCCCCTTTTTCAGTTTCGCCTTGACAATATCTTCACATACTCCTTTCCTATTCTTCCTTAAGGAGGTCCTTTCGCCACCAATGTTAAATAAAAAATATTAGATTATGACTAAAATTAATTTTTTTCTAATAGTTGAAGTCCTTATTTATCTAATTGTGAACTTTTAACTATACCTTACCGTGCACATTTTTGAGAAATTTTTTTTTTAAAAATGTGAGTATTTGTACAGTGTCTTACGAGAAAGTAAGACCTCAACAACAATTTTCGAATTATAATTAAGTATACTATTATTTATTGATTAGATGGAGTAGAAAAAAACTAAAAATAAGGTTTTTGAAATATTTAGGTTTTGTTTTTTATAATAAAATATATAGGTTACCGTGGAATTTATTGAGAAATTAATATTAAAAAAATCACAAAAAATTTTCAACTAGGTTACTTGAATTTTTTTTTAATATTAATTTCTCAATAAATTCTGCGGTAATCTATATATTTTATTGTAAAAAACAAAACCTAAATATTTCAATAACCTTATTTTTAGTTTTTTTCTACTCCATCTAATCAATAAATAATAGTATAATTCGAGAATTGTTGTTGAGGTCTTACTTTCTTGTAAGACACTGTACAAATATTCACATTTTAATTTTTTTTAATTTGCACGGTGAGGTATAGTTAAAATAAAAGTTCACTATTAGATAAATAAGGACTTCAACTATTAGAAAAAAAAAATAATTTTAGTCATAATCTAATACTTTTTATTTAACATTGGTGGCGAAAGGACCTCCTTAATGTACCTGTTGAATGAGTTTTTCTACTGAGTAACGTGTTGGACAGTCCTATACTATTATAATAGTTATCCATAAACACATGATGGCCTTTATCTAAGTATGGTTGCATAAGTCTCAAAATCAAAATTTCCAATTTAGATTTGCTAGGATTTTCAGTAATCATTTATTTTCCTTTGTATATCTCAACATTCAAGACAAATCCATCAGGGGCACATAATTCGTAATGTTTTATACCATACTTAGCCTTTTTTCCTTTTATGTATTGTCTGAATTTCAGACGTCCTCTAAACAATAAAAGAGACTCATCAAGAGAGATTTGCTCACAAGGATATACAGCAGATTGACTATTATCTACTATAAGTCTCATCAAAGGGTTGATCTTCCTAAGAAAGTCATCACCGCCTGCGAGATGTTCACATGAGAATGATTTTAGAATTTCTTCGAACCTACGACCGGACATTTTACTACTAATAACAGGATGATAATATAATGGGTCGAGGGTAAATATCTTCCGTAATGAAGGAAATTTAATTTGTCCTCCTAGAAGACAAAGACCTATGAATATTCTTAATTCCTCTACGTCTAGCTCGTTAAAATTTTTGCTTCAACTACCACGATTTTTAGGTCGATTTTTCGATACAAGTTGTTTGCCATATCTGTTGGTAAATACTAATAATAATTCTTCGACTTCTGGAGACCATATTTTACTGAACACGTCCATTGGTGTAGATGTTGCAGGGACATCAATCTTTATACCACTTTCATTGTTGTTGAATGAAAAATTCGGTATCTCGATAGTATTGCTTACCCACTCACCTCCCTTAACATCATTGTTGTCCAAATTTTTTTCCTCCGACATGGTCAAATTCTCACGTTCCACAATTTCTAGATTTTCATCATCATTTCCATCTTCAGAGTTGGAACTTGAATCATCCTGTTGGTTATATGTAGGGTCGTCTGTCATATTGTCACTATCATGAAATGGGTCCACAGGCGAATTGGGAATTTCACTTTCATCACCTACTAAATGTAAAATTTTTATACAAAATAGTTATACAAAATCATTTTACCCACCACTCGATTCGGTTCCTTCTCTTTGTCACTATCCAACTCGTTGTACCACTGTAAAAGTCTTTATTCATCTTTTCCATCCATACTTATTTCGAGAATATAATTGTAACAAACAAAGCATAAATATCACTTACATATGAACAGCGTATCTGCTACTGAAGCATAAATAATATCTTCGAACGTGCACATTAAAACACGTCCCCACCACGGCCCGAAAATCGCGCCAAAAATGAAAGCAGTGCTGTAGCGGGACGCACAAATCATAACTCTATACATTTGGATACAGAGAACGACTGCTTCTGCAGTTCATATACCTCCTAATCATATATCAAAATGAACTGCACACGCAGTCCGCGTCCCTCCAAGGAAATGTGAGGTGACTGCTATAGCAGTCCGTGTCCATCAACGTGTTAAAATGGCCATACTAAAAAACTTCAATTTTTGACTTAGTGTCTTATTCACGGATGGTACAGAATTAGAGCTCTCGATTAAAATACAATCGCCTAGAGGAAATGTATCAGAAGTGTACAGAAATAGAAAGCGTTGGTTCAGTATTAATATTCAAGTTGTTTGTGGTGCTAATATTAAAATTAATGATTCTCACATAAGAAGACGGTTTGAAAGCAATGAATTTTCCCTATTCAGTCTTGTTGGAGATGGAGGATATGCATGCAAGGCATATTTACTGACACCTTTAGAAACTCCACAGACTCTACCAGAGCTGCGTTATAACAGAGATCAAATTTCAACAAGGAATCCAATAGAAGGATTGTTTGGTGTCTGGAAAAAAATATTTCCTTGTTTATCAATGGACATGATAGTTAATAAAGAGCTGGTATGCCAAATAATTGTTGCAGTAGCTGTTTTGCATAACCTCTGCTTGGAAGAAAAAGACGATATAGATGAGCAGCTGATTGCAGAACATGATTGGGAAGAAATAGGAGTTGTCCCTTATGATGTACGTCTTCCTCAAAACCAAGAAAATTCAGCAACCAGGGATGCACTTATTAATACAGTTTTTTCATAATAATTTAGGTATACAGGACCCTTTATTTATTATTTGTATAGTTTTTAATTTTATATTTGGGGTGCAATTTGAAAAATGAAGGTTAAGTGTAGGGTGGTTTGATTTGAGTTAAAAATTTACAAGTGCTTTGATAGTATGTTATCAAAAAACTAATAGCTGTTGGCCTAAAATCTGTAGTATAAAAATTTTTTTCAATAAATAAATTTTTTAAAATCTTTCTTAAAAAACCATATAAGTAAAACCTTAACAAAATATTACTATTTTACAATTCGGTACGAATTTTATACATTAAGTTCGTTGAATTTTATTTTTTTTAATTTTTAATTCTAATAATTCCTTTTCTTTTATTATTTCTTTAATTTCATTATCAATTTTTTCCCCCTTAAATTTTCTCTTTCTGTTTCCTCCATAATTTTTAGGATATTTAATTATTTTTTTTTTCACTAATTTCTAGTCTATTTTTTGTCAAACTTGGTTATGATTTTTTATATTTTTGTGGTGTTATTGCATCATCAACTTTTTGTTTTTTGGTACTGGTTCCTCTTTAACGGTTTCTGTTTGAACAGTTCATTTAATATCCTTTTTAGGTTCCGTTTTTTTTAAATTTATTTCTTTTTCTAAAAATGCTTCCCCTTCATCCTCCTCGTAAATTACCATAATATTCTCGTTTCTATTTCCAATATCCACCATCATTGGTTGAATACGGCTTGGTCCAGCCACATTTTCTGCAGTGTTCGAATCAAAATTGTTCGGAATTGTGAAAAAATTTTCTTCCAACATACTTAAGACTTTGTCATCATGACTAGTTACTTTTAAGATGTAATTGCCTCCTCCAGTTTTAAAAACTTCAAGCTAAAAAAAATCTATTATCATAAAAGTGCAAAACAAAATGTAAACTAATAACTTCCTTTTCATCTGACTTATGCTGTTTAGCAAGCTTCTTCATTTGCTCGTACATACTTTTTAATAGCATCCCTGTCCTGAAACCACTCGTTTGATAGGAGTTAAACTTCCCAGCACTCCTGCTTCTGTTTGTTAAAGACTGCATTGGTTTTTTGTTTTCCAAACATTTAAAATATTTCTGTACTAAAGATAATAAAATATCTTTTTCACGACTAGTAAAATTGGCACATCTTTTAATTTCTTTTTCCATTACAACTTATAACTTAACCTAGACTAATAAAAGTCAAAACCGAACACTTATAATAAAATATCTACCAACACTATTTAAATGACAACCTAAACTATTAAAACTCGAAACAACAGGAACACTGATAACTACTAATAAAAGATAGGAACGCTATAGAAACTTATAACACTGCAATAAATGGAAGGTCTCGTTGAGATTCTTGATAAACGATTCAAAAGTGTCGAAAATAATCAAAAAATAACTAAACCGAAGTTAGAGTCAAGTTATTACCAACAGGAAACTAGTTATTTTTTATTAACCGACTGTTAATAAAAAGATGCTTTATGTTTTATGATGAATACGGAAAATCACTATCAGACTTATAAGTCGTAACAGGCTGTTAGCTAACAGAGTTATATTAATAATAATGGTGAACACTGCCGTATATGACTGTCTTTTTGTGCCACAACTAAAGGTTAATTTATTTTCATAAGGGCTTGTGCCACGCAGGCACAGTTTGTAAACAATGAAAGCATCACTGTTGCAGTGGCAATTCGTTCTGATAAGCTTTTCAAATTGATGTTTAAGAGCGCTAGTTTTTCTGAACACACATGCCAATGTCAAAATTGAATGTTTTTGAAAGTTGTTAATTCGTAAAAAATAACCAAGACATTAGCTGGTGGCATAAAGAGTTGTCACCAAAATTTTAGGAATGTCTTTAAAATGTTAAGACACATTAACATTGAAGTAAAACAAACAGAGCAACTCCTATGTACAGGCAAAACAGTGTAGGGAACCTTTCATACTAAATGAAAGTAGGCCAAATGAACCTATGGGTATAATACATATAAATGTATGTGGTCCTATGGAGAAACGTTCTTTAAACAATTTTTGTTTTTGTTAAAAGATGATTTCAGTAATTATAGGTTTATTTCAATTAAAATAAGTCTGATGTGTACAAAATAATTAAAGGAATTTTTAATTCTATTTTAAAAATCAAACCGGTAAAACGGTTAAGATCATAAAGAGTGGTAATGGAACTGAATTTGAGAATTTTTCTGTAAGTTATTAAAAAATAATGGCAGAAAGTAAAGCATGAATACACAGTTCCATACACTCATCAATAAAATGGAAGGGAATTTCGTACAATAGTTGAGGGTATACAAGCTATGATTACAGAAAGTAAAGTAAAATTTTGGACAGGAGCATCCAATACTGCTGTATTATTAACAAATAGAACTTGTACAAGTCCTGTTGGAGATACGACTCCTTATGAGCTTCTCTTTAAAAGGAAAAAGAAGAAAGTTAGATATGAAGAGTATTTTTATTAGATATTCTGAAAATGTAAAGGGATACAGAGTGTATTATGAAAAATAAATTAAATTGGTCATAGAAAGGGATGCAACATTTATAATAGAAGAGAATCGGCTTGTTTCTAGTCTGAAAAATTTAGATAATGAGTCACTTAACAAGTCACACTCAGAGACTCAAAGTTTTAAAAAAAGAAGAGAACGTGGAACCAGTCTTAGATCCAACACTCTTAAGAGAAAGAGAGAAAATATGAGATATTAGGGCCATCTAGGGCATTAAAAGTACCACATACTCTGTACAATGATTATGATTTATATTATTTTATCGTGGATGCTGATGAGACCACAACATTTGACGAATCAATTGTTAGTAAATATGCAAGTAGATGGAATGAAGCAATTGATGAAGAAACGAGGGCCTTAACAGAAAATGATACCTGACACCTAGTAGAAAATCCAGAAAAATGTGAAATAATAGACAGTAAGTGGGTTTTTAAGATAAAAAGAAATAAAGAAGTTAATATAAATAAGATCAACTGTGTTAATGGCAAGGGGATTTAAAAAATTTGTATAATCCTGTAGTCAAAATGACTACTATAAGGACAGTTTTGGCTGTGTGTGTTCAGAAAGGCTAGACCACCTATAAAATGGATGTTTGTAACGCTTTCTTACATGGTGAAATTTGTACATTCCCAGCTAGCACAAAAACATCCCATCTACGTTAATAAGCTGCAATTTTAGGCTCTTTAAGCTCGCATGCAATGTACTGTAAATGTAACCCTTATCTCCCTGCAACTACCGAATGTCCGCAACGGCAAGACTTTTATAGCACATCTCACAGAAGTTACAAAGTGAAGTTCGAAAAACATCACACTAACACTTTTACGGTACTTACCCCGAAAGTTGCTCTGAAACGTTCTATTGATGTTATAATGTGAATTAGATCTACAGCATTATACAGTGTGTCCACGGATGGGCTTAACTATACTTGTGAAAATATTTATTTTAAATTAAAAAAGTAATTCTTCATAATTTCTTGCTTGTTAAATAAATTCGATTCACATTGAGAAATTATGAAAAATAACTTTTTCCTTAATTTAAAATAAATATTTTTACAAGTATAATTAAGTCCATCCGTGGACACACATTGTGTAATGTAATACAGAGAGGCTGAAATTGAGGCTATAGTAAAATGTCAATCGAGACATGAAAATTTCAAATAAAACAAAATATTTATATAAATTTATTATTAAAATGTTCTTGAAATCAAGTACCAATAGCACAAAAGTAGAGGTAGGTGTAGGCGTGTTCTTTTATTCAGTGCTGTATCCAGCGCTTGCAGCAAACCGTTCGTTCACCAATGAGCCAAGGCATCCATCGGCTTTAAAAGCCGATGGATATGTGATAGACGAATGGTGAGGATAATCAATCATTTAAGTTAACCTAAAATATAAGAGTTCAAATATAAAACGACTGCAGAATAGATAAATTACATCAATCACTGATGAAACAAGTATTGAATAAAAGAACACACCTTATATCACAAACACAAGTACACATGTGGGATAGAAGAAGCTACCTAGAAAGCACTGAACGATTGGACAAAATTAGCTAAATAGTATAATAAGGTACCAATATTGCAAAGGTTCACTAAAACCTTAAATGGTGAACGATGATAAAGCTAGATTGGTGAAAAATAATAAACGAATACAACAATGACTAGGTACATATTATTATATTAGATTACTAGAGGAAAGCTAAGTTCGCTGATTTCTTACCTAAGACGCAGAGATATATCTTTTTTAAATCAAGCCTTTTAACTTTTTTGCATAGATATTTATAAAGTGCTATAATGTAACCTAAATACTTCTCAATACATTGAATAAAAAAGAAATTGATAACTTGTTTACCTATTATTAATTAAAGGAAATTATATAGAAATTAAAAAATATGCCTTACTTTGTTGTTTTAAATAAAACAACCAATGTTAGTGTATTGAAATTTGTTTGAATTTTACAAATTTTATGCTTGATTTCCAAAGTAGATATATCGATGGCTCAATCAAAAACCGCCACAAGTCAAAAAACAAAGTAATTACATTTTTGGTTCAATGGATGCAAAATATCATTACGGTTTTACTTTAAATACCACCACAAACAAAAATATCCTTAAAGATAAATCATTTAAAATGTAGCCACAAACTGTGTCTAAAACTGCCTCAATTCAAATTATTTTCTTCAAAAACACCCAAATTTTTTACAACTATGCAACAACTCACTTTTATAATCGTAATCATTTTATTTAACAGCAAAATATCGAAGCTTTTAAATAAAATATAAAGAGTATGTCAAAAACAAAATAATGATAATAGAGACTTACAAAATTTCAAAATGAAATTTCTCGAAATAATAGTATTTTAGTTGTGGCAGTATTTGATTGAGCCATCGATATGTAGATTTTATAAAAAACAACTGGTGTTTTTTAGCAAGATATTCTATTATACTCAAGAGTATCATCTATGATTTCTCTCAACTTTTCTGCTGGGTTTTAACTTGAACTGATGGTTGCATTTCCAGGCAATCTAGCCTGTTGAAGAGAATGAACTGCTTGAATTCTGATATATCTGACAAATCATGTACCTATAGATTCACTTTTTATAAAACTTCAGGTGTTATATTCTTCTTTACACTTCTGTAGTATTTACTTTTGCTTCTAAAATTCCTAGAATGTCGAAGGAAACCTAAAAAATAATATTTTTAAACTGTATTTTTAGTTCGATAAAGTATAATTACCTTTTATAAGTATTTGGTGTAAAATGTTGCCGGACATTCGGTTAAATGTTTATCTTCTGGTTTACAACGATTGATCTGCAATTCTTTGTTTTTATTGTAGTTTTTTTTTATTGAATGAAATAATAAATTTACATCAGGCATTGTAATCTGAAACAAAGACAATGGTTTAGAAAATAGTTATCTATTTTATAGAGGACCCTTACCAAATCTATTCGAATGTATAAATAATAATTATTTATAAAATAAATTCTGGATGTCGAAAAATAAACCATTAAAAAAGACAATTGACAAGAAAAACTGACAAGTGACAATTGACATAAAACTAAACGTTCTGAATTCAGATTTGTAATGTTTACGGTAGGTTAATTAGGTAAATAACAAATAGAAGTTTTGCGAGTTTTTGATTTCCGTCAACAACTTCTCATGAACGTTGCATTTACGTTGTACAGTAATGTTATTACGTTCCCTTAATGCAACATCGCCGAAAGGCTTGGCAACGTTATGTGCTAGCTGAGTTTACTTGCCAAAAAGTTGTAATATAAATGATAAAGTGTGTATGTTAAATAAGGTGATTTATGGACTATATTGGTATCAAAGATTTGATAATTTTATGGCAAGTGAAGCTTTCTACAAAATTAAATGTGAAAACTGTTTATATATGAAAATGACTGAAAATATAATCACATACGTAATTATCTTTGTCAATTACATTTTTATTAGTAGTTCT